AAGACAACCCCCGGAGCCCTCAGAAGGGCCCAAAACGGGCCAAAGGGGCTCCAAGACGGCCCTCGGCCCCCAAGACGGCCCCAAGAAACCTCCAAGACTGCCCTAACGCCCCCAACAGGACCTCACGACTCACGACGGCCAAGAGGGTCTCCCAAGACTGCCTCCGAACACAAAGAAGCCCGCTAGAAGCCCCCAAGAGGCCCCAAAGAGGCCCCTCAGCAGGTCCCAGGAGTCTCACAAGAGGCCAACAAGAGTCCCCATAAGGCCTCAAAAGGCCCCAACGAGGCCCACTCCTCCTCCTCCTCATCCTCCTCCTCCTCCTCCTCCACCTCCATTTCTTCTCCTTATGGATAACTCCTCCCTGTCGCACCCCGAGGCAAGTTTTTAGGGCGGACCGAGTGTTTCGCCTGAGACGTCCTCACCATTTATGACTCTGAAGCTTTAAAAGTGACAACAGTTTCACACATGGAGGTCGGGTCGCTTTCAACATGTGGCTCTCGCCTTAGCGCCGCGTCCACTCGTTTTTGTACATTTGCGAAAGCTTCACGGATTGAGGGCGGGTGGTTTTCAAAATGTGGCTCTCGCCTTAGCGCCGCGCACATTCGATTCTCCTGAAAAATTCGCAAGAGCTTCACGGATTGAGGGCGGATGGTTTTCAAAATGTGGCTCTCGCCTTAGCGCCGCGCACATTCGTTTTTTTTATTTGCGAAAGCTTCACGGATTGAGGGCGGGTCGTTTTAAAAATGTAGCTCTCGCTTTAGCGCCGCGCACATTCGTTTCACACATTTGCAAGAGTTTCACGAATTGAAGGCGGGTCTTTTTCAAAATGTGACTCTGGCCTTAGCGCCGCGCACATTCGCTGTACAAAAAACTGTAAGAGCTTCTCGGATTGAGGGCAGGTCGTTTTAAAAATGTGGCTCTCGCCCTAGCGCCGCGCACATTCATTTCAAATTTGCAAGGGCTTCATGGATTGAGAGCGGGTTGTTTTCAAAATGTGGTTTTCACCTCAGCGCCGCGCACATTCGTTTTTTTAATTGCAATAGGTTCACGGATTTCCATGATCAACGTACCAGAAACTGCGTTTTGGAAAAAAACTGGATTATGCGGGCGCAACAGTAATGTTGATTCGCCGTGTTCAAGGCCCAAAAATTGCGTTCTGGCACGGTTCTGGATCGTCAAAACGCAGCAATCAGGTTGATCCGTGGCGTTGAAATGCAGAGAACAATGTTTTGGCACGCTTCGGGGTCTTCAAAGGGTTGTCTTCCAACGAGGCAGTTCCCTCAATGGAAATGAACCGTTGTAGGGGCCTATGAAGATGGAGATTGGAGGGAGTGTTAACTCCAACATCATTGATTACTCTTGGGTTTCCACTGGTCCTCCTCCTCCTCCTCCTCCCCCTCCTCCTCCTCTTCCCCCATCCTCCTGCTCTTTCTCCTCCTCATCCTCCTGATCCTCATCATCATCGCCATCCTCCCTCCTCTCCTCCCCCTCCTCCCTCTCATATTTCGTTTCGTTTCGGCACGGGCCCGCCCCAGCGATCCCTAGCGCTCAACTCGGCAACAGAGTGGAGGGGAAAAGACAACGGGGGCGGCAGCAGCAGCGACGGCGGCGAGAGAGCGGGAGACAGGGAGAGACGAATGCACGGCTCGTCGTGCAGACCCAGAGGGCCGGAAACCGATGACGTTGATACAGGGTGCTTACTAATGCTTGCCTGAAGAAAAGAACACAATGACAGAGTCCACTCAAGTGCTGATGCCTCTGCGTGAAAAGCTGAACTCAGTCCGTGCACAGGACGCGAAGCCAGAAGAAATTGATGATGGGATCCATCCGGCATTCGCCATTCGCGCATACGATGCGAAGCCGAAGCCACTTCTATGTGTTCCGCCATCTTGCCTGCGCAATCCCCCGTCGATGCAAATTTTGCATGGTTGGCCGCCGCCTTCAGCAGCGCTTCGTCTCGCCAGATCCAATAAGTATCTGTGTCCATTGCTGCGTTCACAAGATGATATGCAGGGGTTTTGATTCCCGCGGGCTCCAGATAAGCAGTGGGTCGACACCTCGTTTGGGAAGCCAGCCGCGAGTAGAGATATCATACAAGTTCTGCACGATGCGGTTGAAGATAGGTTCCAAGTGAGGCGCCTTCAGAACAGATGCGCCATTACAAATATCAGCGACGCTTTTGCAGTCCACATGCAACCACACGCGGCGCTCCAAGCTATCCCAAGCAGGATCGTCCGGGTGCGGGGGTACCGGCGGGTATGTCTCGAAGGTCACTGGAAGCTTCACGCTCAAGAGTGCGCCGGTGGGATTGCTCGCGGCCCTGGTCGGCGGCCAGAGGTGGTAAAGATTGCACGCTGTGTCGATGAACTGCGCGCAACCGTCCATCCATGCACTTCCTGGAAAGCACTCGCGGAGACTGGACCTCCGGTGTGGGCCGAGCACCGCGCAGAGTGCATCCTCCCAACCAGGTTTATGCCCTGACGAGCTGTGCACCCAACCGTGTTGACGACGTTCGTGCTGTGAGCAAACTCCCAAAACTGTCTGCTATTCAGCTTGGGACCGATACTCCCGGGCCCACTTCAGCGGAGCCTGGCTGTATCCGAGGTGTGCTCGTTGCTCGCGCCAGGCAAACTTGTAGACATCTCTGAGAAATTTGTGTGTGCAGAAATCAACGATGTTAAATCGGAACTATTCTTGCAACTTCTCCGCACGAATATTGTAATTACTGCATCCTGCCATCGTCTGGCCGCGGCCGCATCCGAAACATGATTCGCAAATGTTTCAACTCCCATGAGCGCGTGGCATGCCAAGACTCTCATCCTCCCCCCGCTTCCGCCCGTAGCCGTTCTGCCTCAAGATGCCTTGCTCTCCGGCGGAAGCCGTGGATACCTCTGATCCGAGGCCAGACTCCAAGTTCTTTCCGGCAACCCTCACGATTGCTGTCGCTGCGGGTAGGCGCTGCCCCAGTTCAGTCATAGGGAAGTCGGATGGGTACCTCGAGCGTCCATCGTGCACCTACAAGTGGAACTGGCAGGGACGAGAGAAGTGTTTCAGCTGTGGTCTGCGGTAAGCCGATGAAGCTACCACCATGGCGCGATCCACCACCTGCGCATGGGGCATAGGAGAAGCGGATCATTCAAGCTGGGAAGCGTGGCCCAACTCCCGTCGTCACGGGCGCCCCTGCGCAGCAGTTGAGCAGGTGGAGCCACGGCCGAAGCAGTCCGCAGAGTAGCTCCTCCAGGACCTCCAGGCGGCTGCTTCACACCTCGATCAGAAAGCCATTGAAGGCACTGAGCAGCTGATGTCACACCCCAGCCAGCTCTGCCAGCGTTCCCTCGCAGCTGGGCGCAGGGCGCAGGCTGCCTCTGGACAGGCCGGCAGAGGAAGCGAGCGAAGGGCCGTGGCAGTGGCACAAGGAGCGTCCAGCGGCTGCGGGGCACGCGGCACTGGACTTGGAGCGCACGCGCTCAGAAGCGGAGGCTGCGTTGGACGCCTTACGGACAGGCCCGCGCGAAGCGGCTGCGGGGCAAGGGGCATGGCATTCGGAGCGCATGCAGTCGGAGGCGGAGCCTGCGCTGGATGCCTCACAGAAGGGCCCCCGAGGCTTGGGCGGTGGCCTCCGCCCGGCAGCCCGAGGCGCCGGCGGCCTTCCGCCTTGCCTTCGAGGCGGGCGAGGCATCCGACGGTGCGGGAAGCTCGACGTCGACCCGCGGGAGAGGGAGGCTCTTGAGAAGCCCCAGGGGCGCCTCGCAGAGGTGCCCAGGCAGAGAGCCAAGGAGCTCTTCGGGGCGGCGGCGGGCGATCCTGGGGAGGCACGTCGGGAGGCCGACGCCACGCGCGGGCGGCTCGAGGCGAAGCTCCAAGAGGCGGAGCCGTGAGGACCGGGGTTGGGCAGGAGGAGAGCGCGGCGGCGTGCGGCGGCGAGCAGCGCCGCTCCGGCAGCGCCCCCGCGCCCGTGCAGAGGCGCCGCCAGAGGCGGAGGGGGCGCCAGGACGCGCGCGCACAGGCTGAGGGCGTGGATGCTGCTGAACCGCCCTCCTCCTCCTCCTCTTCCTCCTCCTCCTCCTCCTCCTCCTCCTCAACTTGGGAGCGATGCCGAGCTGGATCCCCAGAGTCCAGAGGTTGCTGGCAGCAGCGGGCCTCGGCAGACTCTCTGGCGACGCAGGGGAGGCGGAGCGGAGAGCTCTTCTTCGGCGATGGCGCGGCCCGAAGCGCCGATCCCCCTGGCGCTCAGCGCAGGAGTGGCGGAGCAGGGAGGTGGCAGCGGAGCCAAGTGCCAGGGTCGACAAGCCGCGGACGCGCTGGCGGTCGTAGCCCAGTCCCCTGGTCGCCCACCCACCAGCGCCTTGGATGGACGGGCGGCCGAAGCCACTGGTTGCGCAGGAGAAGCCTCTGTCGCACATGTGCTGGATCGGGCGGCTGAGGTCGGCCAGCACGAGCTGCCTCTCTCCTGCACCTCGGCGTCTTCGCTTCCCCCACGACGTCATCGGAGCGGGCGCCCGCTACGCAGCGGTCGGCGGCTTCGTCGCTGCACCCTCACCCCCGCTGGCGATTGATGCAGCTCGAAGACTACAATGGAGGCCAGTCCACAAGAAGCCTTCCACAAGAAACCCAACCCTGAGACCCCAGGACGTCCGTTGATTTCTGGTGTGGGATTGTCGCGCTCTCCACAGCAAGACCATCGGAACCCAAGAAACCCAGGGCACCCTGGAGGCAAGCAGGGTGTTTCTTGGCATGGGTCCCCACTGTAATGCCACGAACGCGACCGCCGTCGAGCGGGCCTACAAAGGAGGAAGGATCGCACGCAGGTCCCCGTGCGTGACCCGAATCCAGGTGGCCTCGCGGAGTCGCCAGGCCCGGCCGTCGCCGAGCAGGCGTGTCGGTCCCGTGGTGCTTCTGGGAATGGACAAGGATCGCCCCTGAGACACTCCAGCGGCTCGGCTGCCCAGCCCGTTTTAAAGGATCCCGATGCATCGAAAGTCCGAGAGACCAGGGCCACCCTGGACGATGACCATGGTCCTCTCGCCGACTCGGAGGCGAAACTGCACGGGCATGGTCGCGAGGAAGGGGACGGCGACGAGTGCCTGTACCTCATGATTCTGGGCATCTTGGCGGCATTGTGCGATGCCAGTGTAGCAAGCTCCTGTTGAGTCGGGCCTCTAGGGTAGCAGGGGACTGCCTGAATTGCTCAGCGGACTCGGATGGGAGATGGATTCCGTGGGCTTGGATGGGAGACCCAGAGTTATGTCCAAGGTTGTTCCACAGATAAGCGTCGGGAGAAAGGACAAACGAAGACGGATGGCAAGAAAAGAGGCATAGCCATATGTGAAAATGTCAAAGAGTGGAGTAGTCGTATTCACAAGCACGTGTCCTCCCAGACGGACTGTAACATGTGCCTTTTCACCGAGACCCGATCGGAACTTCGAGGCAGATATAAACCAAGGCCACGAGAGCGCCCCAGGAGTACCAAAAATCATCAAAAAAACTACCCCCCTCGATCCTCGAACCCTTGGGCTGGTCCCCCCTGTCATTAAAGCAGTAAAACTGTGTAAACATAAAACTGTCGGACGTCCGTGCGAATTTCTTGGACCAGCGCTAGACCTCCCTCCCTGTCGCGCGGAGCACGCCCAGGGGCGGCGCCAGAGTCTCCACCAGGGGGGCCCGGCGCTGATCCAAGAAATCTGCACGGAGCTCCGAAAGTCCATTTTCATGCCCCTGGGGACACCAAAAGATACCGATGTCGACGCGACACGAACCTACCGGACCGTTTCCTCCTTCGACCCCTGTCGTCGTGGAGGCTTGGAAACAAACACCAACACCAAACAGGGGGGTACCTCCGCAGGGGCAAGATGATCCTGGCTTTTGCCGTTGGTGGCAATAGCTCGGCCACTCAGAAAGCCCGAGTACAGCAGTAGCCCGACCACAAGAAACCTTCCACAAAAAACCCAACCCTGAAACCCCAGGACGCCCGTTGATTCTTGGCGCGGGAACGTCATGCTCTCCATCGCAAGACCATGCAAACTCAAGAAACCCAGGGCACCCTGAGGGTGTTCCTTGGCATGGGTCTCCACTGAATTACCACCATCACCGAGATCGGGCGCACCTTCCCTCGGGGAAGGCACACCGCCGATCAACATCCAGGCCTCCTCCTTCTCCTCCTCCTCCTCCTCCTCCCCCTCCTCCCCCTTCCTCCCCCCTTCCCCCCTCCTCCCCCCTCCTCCCCCCCCCGATCTTGGTGCTCGTGTCAACCTCCAGGCCCCCGAGCGCCGCCCCCGCGGGAGCACCAGGGGCTTGGGCAGCCCGCCCGCGGCGCGGGCGCCCTGCGCCCGGCCGCCCTCGGCGGCGGCGGGCTGCGCGCGTCCTGGGCGGGCGGCGCGCGGGAGACCCTCGGAGGGGGGGAGGCGAGGGGAAAGGGGAGGGGAGGGGCGCAGGAGGGGAGGGGAGGGGAGGGGAGGGGCGCAGGAGGGGAAGGGAGGGGAGGGGAGGGGCGCAGGAGGGGAGCGAGGTGCGGTCGCGTCATATCTGACGTCCTGCCGCTCCCTCCCATCCCTCACCGTGGCGTAGATCCCTTCCCTATTCGCACAATCGGATGTCGCAGCATGGCATAGCATTACATAGCATTACATGGTGTTGAAGATTAACGCGAAGCATGACATAGCATGGCAAAGCGACGCCCCAATGTGGAGGGAGGGCTTCTGCGGCCAAAAAAACACCGAATCGGCACCGAATGCGTAATCACTTCCGATGGTTTTTGCTTCGGGGGGTGGGGGGCATTTTCTAAAGTTGGGGGCCTATTTTGAAGGACCGAAAACCATGCCGTGGCATGGCGCTAGAAATAAATGACGCCAGCGCTGCAGCGGGAGCACGATTCGGAACGAGCGGAAGCGCGGAAATGAGGCCAGCGCTGCAGCGGGAGCACGATTCGGAACGAGCGGTAGCCCGTAAATGAGGCCAGCGTTTCAGCGAGAACAGCATGTTGAAACTCCTGGGAATCCTGTGGTTAAGAAACCAATACGTGAAGGGGGCCGAACAGTCTCCCGACGCCACCAGGGGAGAGAGGAGAGTAGCATTCAGATTGTTTAATTGTGGAGGAGAGTGGAGGCTTCGCACAGACACCCCAAGCCAAGGGCAAAGGAAAGAGAAAACACCAGTACCAATCAAACCACGCGAAAAGAAAGGACCCACCTGGCAACCGATTGGCCACACATATCACGCTCACACGACCTCACAGCAGCCATACCAGCAGCAATACAACAACACATACCACGAACCAACCAGAGCACCAGCATACTGGGAACAGAAACGATTGGCACCACGTCCACCAAGACCAACCACACTGCCAAGGCACAAGTCACAGCAATCGACTCTCACTTCAACCAGACGCAGCGACTACGTCCCACAACCAGTTGTTTGGTACTACTGCCGACCGCGCTGCCTACACTTCATAGGAAAACCGAACACTCATAGACTGCATACCTGAAGCTTACCACAACGCAGTGCGAAACAAGGACAAGCCAAGAGCTATACCAGTTGAAGCAGGGGCTTGGTATACGTCCAAAGCAGCAAACCTCCACAAGCTCGAGTCTCAGGTGCTGGCAATAGGAAACGCTGATCAAGATGCAAGCGCCAAATCGATGTCATCAAGAGGCAATTAAAATATCAGGAACCTCAAGCCGAGAAACTGCAATACATGAGACGACTGAAGGATGACTACGCAGCACGCTCCCAGATTGCATAGGCCACCCTCAAGAAGGAGAAGGCGAAACACGACGATACCACGCATAAGACAAAGACGTACGCCAATTTAGACAAAGACCTGGTCACCGACAGGCAACATACACCGAGCCCCAACCAATGAGCAAAGAACATCAAGCTCAGCAGCTACCTCATCGAACGTCCACCACTCGACCCACTCAAGACGGCACAGTAGAGGTCACATGACGACCAGGAAGCGCTACGACTCAAGAAGCTACTACAAGCGTCATACGACAAGCTCAAGGCCAACGACTCGACCAGAGAATAACTCAACACAGCCAGACAAGACAGGCTTACGATACAATCAGAAAGCACCAGCTCCTTACTGCAGACTGCAGAAGAAAACAATACAGCAATTACAATGCGCTAGCGACAACCTCTCCATCGACTAGCATGAGGCGAAAGAAGACAACAAAGCACTACGTTATCAAGGGCGACGTCGTCAAGCAGCACGAGAAGAAGCAACACGACGAGCAGAACCAGCACATTACGACAGGGACACAACCACCCGACAGAAGGGGCAACGAATACAGCAGATTGCACATGTCACAGAGTAAACCATGCAGTACCAATCACAACTTAAGAGCATCCGGGCAAAGGAAGAATACTACCTGACGGCCCATAAGGCAGATCACGACTCCCACCAAAAGACAGAGACCACCACCTCAACTCTACGCAAGAAGTATAAGAACAACAAGACCAGCGACTCGAGAACCAACAAAACGTAGCATCCCACTGAGACGACATCACAAGTGGACAAGCTGAGAGCACCATAGACGACTGCATGCAGCAAGAGATACCGCAAATACACCACCACTTCCAACTACAACATGAGGAGCAGGTACAACAAGCTAGACCATACCACCCCATCGCAGAGAACAAAATACAACCCCTCGAGCAAGTACCAGCTCAAGAAGCACAACAAGCCAGATGGTACGCTCCCCAACACAAAAAATCACGAGGATAAACTGATCACCGACTACAACAAGCATAGATCAGCTTCCTTACAACATTCCAGAACCAAGAAGCAGCACACCTCATCATAGCAAGCGCTACCGAGCAACTCCACAAAGCCAACCAACTCTACCAACGACGCATCAATACGGCAGAGCAATACCAGCAAGGAAAACAAGCCTACGTGCGAAACCAGCACCAGACGTTACGAAAATACAAGACAGCACAGCTGTAATCTGAATGATGGCGTGCCGGCCGACAAGAAGAGTTCACGACTCTACGAACACAAGCGATTGCAAACCAAGCACAGACAAGGTCTGCAGAAGTACTTCCACCCATGGACTAGCCAGTACCTGGACCAGACCACGACACCGAGAACGCGATCCGAATGCAAAAGGAAGAACTGCTCGACCATACGCGCCATCGAAAAGAATAGCTACAAGAAGCTCAAGTACATGACGAAATTCAACGGATTCAAGACAAACTCGAGCACATAACATGCGACGAGGTCGACGACACGAACGACATCGGGGACCTCGCAACTGCACAGTCGACCTGCATACCTATTCAGCAGTTCGCAGACACCACACCAGCACAATGACAATCACAACACCACCGACAACATTAAAAAACAACAGCAACAAGCACCACCACAACAAGAATAGCAACAACAACAACAACAACAACAACAACTACTACTACTACTACTACTACTACTACAACTACTACTACTACTACTACTACTACTACTACTACTACTACTACTACTACTACTACGACTACAGCAACACCATCAACAACAATAAAACCGACAAAATCAACAATAATCATAATAACAACATGATCAACAACAGCAACAACAACAACGACAACGAAAACGAGAACAACAACAACAACATCAACAACAACATCAACAACAACAACAACAAACATAAATCTTAAGACTGGTCGCCCTTACATGCTCGAGTGTCCAATAACGCGTGTTTCCCAAACCCTCGATACCCGCCCTCTTCGTCTTCGATCGAACCCCTTTTGGGGGATATACCTTTCTTCCCTGCAGGCCAGGCCCCGGCAAGCGGCGGGGCGGCCGCGGACCGTCGGCCTGGCCAGCGGCAGCGCTGATCGGCGGGGCGGCCGCGGACCGTCGACCCGACCCCAAGAGGGACGGACAGGGGACCGACCACGACGACGACGACGACGACGACGACGACGACGACGACGACGACGTCGAAGACGACGGCGACGACGACGATGACGGCGACGACGAGCGAAAGCGAGAGCGAGAGAGAAC